ATTTAAAAGACGGGTAGATGAGGCGCTTAGGGACATGGTTTAGTGGGCATGGTGGTGTTGGGTTGACGGTTGGACTCGATGATCTTAGAGGTCTTTTCCAACCTTAATGATTCTATGATTCTTCTGGCAGGAAGCATTAACTGGTAAGATCTGCAGATGCTTCTGACCTATACCCAGATTATCAAGAGCAATTCAAGTGTTAACAGTAAGCCACCTCTCACCAATACTATTTTCAACATTTTAAGTTGAAGCACGTCAGTATCATCGGTTTGGCAAGCTTACTAATTAGAAGTTCAGGACAGGCTTTAAAAAAGTGATCTTAGACTTACTGCATCCACAGTACAAAACAGCCCACATTTGTCCATACTAGAGTGTGTTATCAAATGTGCATTCATTAAGCCTGGTGGACTTTGTGCCATTTCCAAATCAATTTGTAGCACACAAAAACACACCCAAGAAAGGAAAACAAAACTGCGCACTTAATAGTTTAGCAGCTGGGTTTAAGAGTGGAACTGAACCACTTACTTTTGAACAACCTGCATTTTTACATGCCGTCCCAATCTTGATTTCATCACTGTCTTCCTCTGTAAACAGAATCGTATTATAGAAAATAGCAACTGAATTGTACAATGTACTAAATATTTTGCTTTTATTGAGAACTAAAATGAGCTAAGGAGTAGATTAGGAAAAAGAAACTCTCAAGCTGTCTATTTTCTGCCTGGCACTGACATCTGCCAGAAAGGTACAAAGAAACAGAAGTTATGCAAACATTCCAAAAGCTGTATTACCTATGCATCAGATTCTAGGTTCTACACCTTTACACGGTTTTAAGTGGGGTAAAAAAAATTGATAAAGAGGACTATTACAATCATAGGGGAAGAGAACAATCACTCATCTTGTTTGGTTTTGTAAAACTAAGAATGTAAAAGGCTCCAACTGCTGTCTATAAATACACACAAGGAAAGAATTTGGATACCAAATAGAAAGAAGAGCTAAATGACAGTTCTGACACAAGAATAAAATAGCCACAAATGTAGGTTGAAATTAGAAAGTATTTCTTAAGGAGCAGTGTAGTTCTGGAACCAAATTCCAAATAAACTGTGGGAAGAAAAAAAAAAAAGAGGAAAAACAGACGAGGGAGAGCCAACTAAACTTCAGAGGAATTTAATCAGTTTATGAAAGGCTTGATATGACATTGTGTTTGCAATAGCATAGGAGTAGAGTTCATTACTTGGGAAACTCTTCAAGTCATATATTCAGAAATGGATGTTCCCATCATGTCCATTCTAACCAGAAAATCTCACAAAATAGGCAGTTCAACTAATTTTAATGGGAACATACTGCTCCTAACACCCAAGTCTCCACATGGTTCACATTTCAACTTTGATTATCATTCCCTAGACTGGAAGGTATTTCCCAGACTATTAAGAACAAGAACATAATTACATGAAATAATTACTTCAGAAACAACAACAAAATAGCATTTTGTTTATTTGTGTGACAATTAGTGTACATACCTACTTAACCTTCTTACCTTTTTTCTCTTCGTTTTCTGATGACAGTTTCAGTTTATCTAGTGCTTGCTTCAAGGAAGCTGACACTTTCAGCTGCAAATTTGTCATTGGCTCATCTGGGCTAAAAAAATGTCCATGTATTCATGTCAGCTTCATGAAAAGTAATTTAAAAAAGACAACAAAATAGTAACTTTTAATCTTGCTATAAGGCTCTTCCTTTCTAACCTCCCTTACGACAACAAGCAAACAAACTAGATTTGTACATGCCAATTCTTACTGTTTATGGAAAAACAGACTAGAAATTTAGAAGGCAGTCTTGGACTTCCAACAGGAAATCCTAAATACAACAACAAAAATAAATCAGAGAGATTAAGGAATCTAAATACAAGCACCCTAAAATTAGTTTTTATGACTGTAAAACACTAAACACAACTGCTAGTGGCATTCTAAGCTATGAGGCTTTAGACTGCAATTTTTGTTTACTGTGAAGCTAAATGCTGAGAGATCCAGTACTTCTGGATCAGAAGTATCTTCTCCCAACCAGAATTCTTTTATCTCATTTTGAGGCTTAAGATAACATCATCACTGCTACCAAACCCAAGCTCTTCTAAAGTTAATTTGGGAATTTTTACACTGTATGAGATGTGTAACACTGAATAACCAAATGAGCTTTAACCTGGCCAACTGACCACAAATCTGGCAAAACTTAGTTTCGCATACTGTACCTTGGCCTTTTAATTGTTTCCAATGGTTTTGGTGCCTGAATTATGTGTTCTTGAAATTTGGGTTTCAGTTCAGCTAGCTCCTTTCGTTCAGAGGTAGTTTTGACTTCTGGTTTAACAGGTTCAGGAGGTTTCTCACTGTTATGGAGACCCTTTGTACAGCCCTATTATGGAAAGCATATGTTTATATATATGCAGTGTAGTTTCTGTGCACAATTAAAAATTATCAAAAACTGCAACAAGTTTTCTCAATTTATTTCTTCAGACCCATCTTCTCCTTTAAACCCACTCTAAACATTGGCTGCAAAGGAAATCTTACAACTAAAGTGGAAGGTATCTTCATTTGGACATACGTTAAAGAAAAATGCGTACTTTGCGTAATCAAGCAAAGTAACAAAAAATATTGACCTTCCTTCATTGTTAACAAGCGTTTTGATAGAACTAATTATAACCATTAAAGCTTGAAAATGAGACTCGACTTCAACATTGTATCAAGAAAAATAGTGCATGCAAGATTAAGACAGTTTTAACAGAAGTACACAAATTTTAAACATGTAAGCACATGTACCATTTAATATTTACCACTGTCATTTGACAAGCATAAAAATTGTAAATAATCATGAGTACATACCACAATGCTTAAGAAGTCAGAAAAGTCTGTTGTTCTTCTCTTACAACATGACCAACCCTATAAACATTTTGGAATAAAAACAAAACAAGCATGACTACTTTACTTGGCAACAGCTTATAAAAAGCAAAAGACTAATTATATTCCTTTACAAGATGTGGCACATCGTGATTAGAGATTTATTTTCTTCCCTTCTTTGGACAATATTGTCATCATGTGCATTTTTAAAAGCCATAGAAACCTGTTACAGCTGCCATTTCAGTTCACTCATGCTGCCTTAATCAGATAGTTTGGTGAACATGAGGCAGTATTTCCATGACAAGTTAGGTGCCAACTCTGTACGACAGAAAACAGAAATGTTACTTTGTATCATAAAGTAACATGTAAGCAAAACAAACAAATACTATACCTGAGACTAGGCTCACCTGTGGTATAACATACAGGCCCCTTTCCTAAAATGATGAGGATTTTTTCTTTCCTTGAGCACTAGTCAAGTCTTTCAGCTGCTTATTTCCCACCACAAAGCTGGAGATCTGCCTTGCATAGCCATCTATCCAACTATATCAATAAGAGCACTTTTTATTATATAAACCAGAAATCCAATTTTAGAGAAAATTATCTTGCCACTGTGAATAACGTATCTTACAACTTGAAGAACCCTATTAAAGGCAACAGTTTGACTAAAATGCACCACTGCTTTGAGAGCTTAAGCAGTGTGGCATGATGGGTTTTAGGTAAATGGTTCTAAAATATCCTCAAAATATTAACTATTTCCACAGTCAAGGAGACAAGAGGTTCACCCTGCCCACTTAGACTATCTAGAATTCATAACAGGAAGAAAACTGCCCATACAAAATTATGATAAATTTTTAATTAAGCCAAGAGATAGCATAAGGAGAGGAGGGAAAGTAGTACTTGTTTGAAAAATGTTGCGTATATAAGAGGGAGTAAACACTATCTTTTGAGGTAACTGTATAATTTCTGTCTTTATAACTAGGTAGAAGTTTTAGGTGCTGTGTTATGAGTACAACTGTAATTTTGTACAAAACAAATTGCCATAGTCTAAGTAACCATATCGTATTTGATCTAACAGCATCCGTCCTAATTTGCGAGTGGCACACTCTGGCCGATTCCGGAGTCACGTACTGCAATATGAGCAATAGCTCTCAGAAAACACACTACCCAGCACATACGCACAAGCTTCCATGAGCCTAAAAGACACCACGTTATGGGACAGGGATGAGATGCACTGCCAGTAGGAGCAGTTCCTAAATACCAAGAAAAAATGCTTGCCCCAAAGCTCGGTTAAATAGCAGTTTGGTGTCCTAAGAAAGGTCACTTCAGCTACATCTGTATTAATACAGTAAACAGTGCCAGGCTCCGTTCCTGGAGACCAGATTTCTGGCCATACACTATTAAATTGTTAGAATGATTTCCAGTACTATTTTGGCAGTTTTGTCTCAGGTAATTCCCTGTAGGCGCTTTGGATGCATCCAGTAGATCCTGAAGTAGGAAAACAGTTTAACATAACAAATATGGGCTATGCAGTTGGCCTAAGCACTGGACACCAGCCACAGGTATATTTAATTCACTACTGAAGATGTAGCACAAGAATCCTGCACAGCTGCATCAGAGGCATGAGCAACCAGTCCCAACTTAATCAACATACTAATTTGTCAGATTAACAGAACACTATTTTTTATAGTAGGCAAACGCCACACACGTCTTAGTTCACTAGCCACATAAGACCACAAGCAGCTGGTTTGAATTCCAAGCAGGTTAATTAACTGACATAAACTGACATAACTGACTCATAAAGAGTATGACACCTCTCAATGTCTCCAAAGGCCTATTCGGAGGACCTAATTAAACTGTTGAGACACCTAAAGTCAATCAATAGGAAACATGTCATACAGACTTGCATGGCATTTAGACCATATGAGTACAGTTTTTAACTTCTTCAGGTTTGAGTAAGTGTGCTTTTCTAATTTCATGGGGTGGCTCAAACATGATAGGCTGGGCATCAGTTTCTACAACTGACAGATTTGGGATGAAAAAGGAAAACAAGCATACTGTTTTACATATATGGAAAAAAAGATAAGTCTTAAAAAGCTAGTTGCATACTTACTTTGAGAGCATCATGAAAGACTGGCACACCTGGATGATATGTGCATGAATCTAGAAGAAAATGACTATTATTAATATTCAGGCATACCAAGAATCCTTATCCATCTGATCACAAACCCAGCAAAAATTTCACACTTGCAATTCACATATGCTATGAGCTGTCCCACTTCCCCAAGCGCATGTAATTATGAAGGAAAATACAGACTACACAGAACAAGCTTTTTGAGTGCATATATTAAACCAAAATAATCCAGATATTTTCTTCTGTATTATACAACACAAACCAGAAAGCAGGCATCTAAGACAAACTTCTATTCCATATGGAGCAAGTAAATTTTCTATGGACCATCCCTTGCCTTCATCAATAATTCACCCCTATGACCACTGATAGACATGAAATATTGGTTTACAGCATCAAATACATCTATTTGCACCCGATCAAGGCTTTCTACCTAGAAGCACTCTGTTAAAAAATTCTCTTAACACAAAACTGGAGTTCATTATTTTATCCATGATAATTAGCTTGTTCTTTTTTCACTGTGGTATCCTAGGTCACTTAAGGACTTGAACCCAAAGGCCAGTCTTCCACATACACGATTCAGACATGTCAATACTATTAATAATTAATAGGTTCTGTACAAACACTACACTGAAACATGACTTCCATTAACCGAACTGTCTATATTCACAGATGTTTATCAACACTACAGCTTTTTATGTAGCAACGGTTCCTTTTTTACTTGATTTGTTTTTTCCAAGTGTAATATAATTGCTCTGATTATATAACTTCTCTTTGACATATACTGCATGGATAATATTTTAATGACCTGACTAAAAGCGATGGGAAACACTAGCTATCTTTTAGCCTTTAAAGCAAAATTTTTGTTGTTGTTAGAAACAGCTAAAATTAAAAGTGACACAAACAGTAACAATTTTTATAATAAGTCTCTGTAAAACAGAAGAGTGAAAAATATCACAATTCACATAATAAGAGGCAAAAGAGAAAAGTGATAAATAACTTTATTAGTAATCTACCTATGGATATTAAATGGGCTTGAAGACAAATAACTTTGTTGTTTTCATTTTGATTACGAATATAGATTTTTAAGAAATCTTGCTTAGTATAATTTTCTTTAGTTTTATATTCAGTACCTAAGTCTAAGGCACTAATACAGTCTGACAGACATGTTGCTTTGAGATGACAGTTCCCACTTTAACTCAAAAGGCACGTATTTTGGGACATTAGTCCTTCAGCTGGACTTACATACACATCCATGAACTTCTACCAATTCCTTCAGCTTCAGGATGAAAAACAAATCCTTTTGTAAATGTAAACCTCACAGGAAAATTAAAAAAAAATAAAAATTGTATAAAGAGTCCAGGACTTTACTGCTAAATCAAATAAAAGTAAAAATAGAGGTTATTCTTTTCCAAAAGTACGAAAGTATGTCATCGTAAGCATCATGGTAGTAAAACTAAGCTCTGTTTGCAGCAAAGATTATTTCTGAATCGGAAGACGTAAATTAATATTTCTAATCCCTCACAAGCATGTGTGTTTAAATGAGGGAGGTGCTGTTAGTCAGTGCAACATTTTTAGAGACCAAAACCATCTCACGATCAATTAACTCAAGGACAGCTATCCTCCAGCTTGCAAGTCAGACACAGACAAGCATCTATTTGTCCTATCCTTTTTCCTTGCTTCCTGAAGCCCCCTCTGCAGGAAGTACATCATGGAGCAAATGACAGCCCACACTCTGTGGCTCTCTCATGAGGGCCATTCATGTTCCACAACAGAAAATGCTGAGACAAGGAGTTGTGCAGTACCTGAAAAAGAGGCAGTGGGGCTTGCCCACTAAGCAGTCTGACCATTCTGCGTACCAGAGGACAGTAAAATGTCCCTCATTTTCACTCATACTGAGCCAAACAACTCTTACCTGATTAAAGTTTACAACCATAAAACTTCCCATCTCAGACTAGGTGGGGAAAAACGGCAATTTAGTACACATCAAGAATCACCTGAGCAGTTAGAAGCATGTCTATTTCTGATTTGTCAGAGTTCACTTCCAGCCTTTGGTTGCTATTCTACATTTTTCACTGCAAAAAAATCAAGTCACTCTCCGCTGCTTTTAATACCTACCTTTCCTTAACCAGGACAAATGAAGTTTTTCAAAACAAGGCATTTTCTCTCACCCTCAGATCATTTTTGGTGATGTAAGTACCACAGATTTTCAGGTTGTTTGGTGGGTTCTTTTTTTTAACGCTGATTTCATACCCAAACCAATCCCACTCTCACAATGCACACACTGCTGTCTGCTGTTAACTTACTGCTGCATCCTTGCTTATTCATTGAAGCACTTTATTAGTCTTTTTGTTAGACGTGAAAGCAGAAAATGGTACAGGTCATCCAAACTTCGAGGTATTTACAATGGGATTGTGTTGAATTCTTGAGGACCAAATGAGACATCTGTCTGTATATAACTTGCAAAGCGACCTGCTATCTTGTGGAAACACTCCAATACTTTGCAAGCTATGCTTTACAGCCCCAAAGCAATGGAAGGTCATTAAACCTGATGGACTTCATTCAACACCTTGGGGAAGTTCATGCCTTCAAGTGGTTGCTGAAGCTAGGAAGCTAATTCTACTGGACTTCTTCTCACAGTGGTGGAAAAAAACACAGAAAACAGGACAAACATGGCATGGCAAGAGCTTATAAGTAGTTCACAAAGAAAGGCTCAGCCTAAGAAACAGAAAGCTGTGGGGAAGACAGAGGATCAGAAGGTGCACTTCGTGGGAACAGAGCTTGAACTGTGGGGACCAGACAAGGTTAAAGAAAGCTGACTTTGGGCACGCAGACTCAAAATATCTAGGCTACCATTTCTTGCAACTCCATCTCTCACTCACTCCACCTCAGAAATACATAAAATAAGTTTTCATCAGGTCTGTGATCATGTTTATCCTGCAAGTGCAACATCACTAAGTTTGATCTAAGGAAAAAGTGTATAAACAAGCACGAAAAAGTACGTGCTTCTGCTCTGGCAACGGACCAAATTAAACCGCATTAAGATTCAAATTATAGTCTAAACCAAAAAATCTCACAGTACAATGAAGAAATTGAGACAAACACATAAAACATATATACTTTCCCTCTGTTTGTGCACACCACCTTTACAACTGTCATTAAGCAGCGTTGCTTTCAAACCTAAACCAAAGTGAGCATGTACTACCTCATACCACTGTTTTAGCAGCAAAATTTGGCCTGGCCTTGAAATGGGTTAGAAATGGTCATTCACAGGTAAAAAAAAAAAAAAAAAAAATTAAAAACCTCCTACCGCTTTTGAAGTTAAGTTCTACTTTCTATGTCAGAAGCTGTACAAGTCTCAACGGTATGGATTAACTAGTACTTAACATATCTAAAATGCATGTGAAATCTGTACCTTGCCAGGCATGCCACGGATGAATTCATAACTGTGCACTCAGTCACAACTGTGTGCATGCAGACATACCTTTAATGCTTTCCCTCAGGCTGTTTTTTCTGCCTCTTTTTAAGAGGCATACAGTCCTTCATGTCAGCCAGTTGTCACTTGCTCATAGTTTGGAAACAATTAGAGTTTCTACAGAAAATACATGCATATATTATTTCAGCCATCTGATTCTAAAGAGAATATTAATGGCCTCTTACATAAATCATCACTATGGAAATATCTATATTGCAGGCTGAACGTAGACAAAAACCTGAAAAATCCAATACTGCTTGAGGCCAGCAGGCCTTATTTTCTGCCTATTTTAATTTTTAAAAAATTCCTATTAATGTATTGATCCTAAGCTTAACTATTAGATAATCATAGAATCATAGAATCATTCAGGTTGGAAGAGACCTCCAAGATCATCGAGTCCAACCGTCAACCCAACACAACCATGCCCACTAAACCATGTCCCTAAATGTCAATGCAAAACTTCATTATTAAAGAGATAAGTATTTTGGTGTTTGTATAACACATGTAATAGCCTTAATCCCCACAATATTTTAGAATTAAATCCCCACACAGTTCTGAAACACAAACAAACATTTGAACTTGACAGCCATAGACAGATAAATATGGATTTAGATGCCTAAGTAGTAATCACCCCATTGACCTTGGTGAACTTTAGGGATGCCAAAAGTTATCATCACTCTACTTCCGCACATAATGTCAAACTTGGTTTTTTGAAGTGGTCCGTGAATAACTAAGTTTACTTTTAGAACTGCTTAGAGCCTAGGACACAGTAATTCCAGCAAGTGTTCCAGTCACTTACCGAAACAAACGTCATCTCAAGAAGCTGGTTTCCCCAATCCAAGCACGACGCAGTTAGCACAGGGCCATGCCAACCAGATCGGGTCTACTACAACTTTGATCGTAGACATAGGAATGCATGGTAAAGAACTGTTTGTTATTTTAAGAGTGAGAACAGGTCATGAAGACCCAATGAGAATTTTTAATATAAAAAGCCCTATCTGCTTTATCTTTTGGGGCAAAGGGGGTGGGGTAGGTGGAGAGATCGCTAAATGGAAGCCTTCCACAACTGTGCCTGCTTTTTCTGTCACTAACATTAGTGAGTCTTACTCAAAATGCTGCCCCTCTCTCTGGAAATACTTAGCTGAGAAAAATAAACACACTTTATGCCGTGGTTCTTAATCACAGAATATGCACATGCTAGAACATGTTAGCCTACTTCTAATCTTGTGGGTTACTAAAAATGAAGCTAACGCAAAGAGGCCATTCTAGAAATTCAGCCAACAGAGTTACTTTACAAACCAGTTGAGGGCAAGCCTGCTGAGAACTCACATCACCCTTCTACAGGCCCTGTGGAACTATAAAACCTAAAATTACAGCGCTTTAAAGATGTTTCACCAAGTACCGGATTCCCAGTATACATCAGGGAAGCACTACAGGAGTTCACAGGACTAGGCAAAGCAGACATACATGTATCATAAGACACATTTAATTACCTGCTGCAAGTCCACATACTATAATTGAAAAAAAACAGTAGTTGGTAAGATAACTTCTATGTATGCAACACCCACAGAGGCCCTCAAAAGAAAAACGTCTGTTGCTCAAGGCCAGCTTCCACCTTTAGAATATATCATGGTAACGTACAGAACTGCTTCTTATCGCCTCTCTTCCCTCATACCGCTGTGAGCAGTTTTATTATCATAAAGAACCTTGAGCCAGGCTCACCGCCAGCCCCGCACCTCCGCTCTGAAGGGACAGCTTCCAGCCCGGGCAGGTTTCGCTGTCCAGCTGCCGCGAAGCCCGCAACCGAGCAACCTGCGGCAGCGTTTCACCACGCCGCACCACCCCTCCACCCCTAAAGCGACAGAAAGCACCACACGAAAACACGAGTTTCCCCGGGGAGAAGCGAGCCGGGACCAGCACCGTGCAGTAACAGACGGGCGAAGGCGAGAGGAACGGACGCACACCCCCGCCGGCCCGGGCTTTCCCTGCCCCTCGGTGCTGACCGTCCCCAGCCGCCTGTGTGACAGGTCCGCGGCGCGACCAGGCTCCA